TGGACCGGGCCAGCTAAAACAACAATGACAATTGCACCAAAAAAAAATCGCCAGGTGTTGTGGCGGACACCTGCAGTCCCAGCTTCTTGGGAGGCTGAGGCAAGAGAATCACTTAAGCCCAAGAGTTTGAGGTTGCTGTGAGCTGTGACACCATGGCACTCTACCCAGGGCGACAGCTTGAGATTCTGTCTCAAAAACAAAACAAAACAAACAACAACAACAAAAAAAACACAAGCAAACCTAATTCCTTATCTAGATGGCACCAGAGACAGAGATGTTTTCCTTGCTGACTGACAGATTTCAGGACTCTTGTTGAAAGTGCCTGTTTTCCAAATTCATATGGTGTCACCACATGGCAACACCAGTAAGACTAAAACTATACCTTGCCTCGGAGCCCATAGCACAGTGGTTACTGTGCTGGCCACATGCACCGAGGCTGGTGGGTTCTAACCCAGCCTGGGCCAGCTAACTACATTGACAACTGCAACAAAAAAAATAGCTGGGCATTGTGGCGGGTGCCTATAGTCCCAGCCTTGGGAGGCTGAGGCAAGAGAATCCCTTGACTCCAAGAGTTTGAGGTTGCTGTGAGCTGTGACGTCACAGCACTCTATTGAGGGCGGCATAGTCAGACTCTGTCTCAGAAAAAAAATAAGAACTGTACCTTATGAAACTTAGGACATTCATATTTGCATTTTTTTTGTATTGATATCTTTTTAAAAATGAAATGAATTCAATAAAGCAATTTAAGATTAAAACTTACAGATCATAGAAGGAGTCCATAAGTAATAAGGATTTCAAATTAAGTACTTCTGGAACCCTAAACTTCAGAGCAACCTCATTTACCGGGATGAATCATAACTTCAGAGTAATTGTGCAGTTATCAGTGGAAAAGTAGCTACTATGCTGTTAAGCACAAAATGTCATCCTCATGCTCGTGCTACAGGCAGTCCATGGTGGCTCACGCCTGTAATCCCAGCACTCTGGGAGGCTGAGGCCAGTAGATGCTTGAGCTACTAATTGGAGACCAGCCTGAACAAGAGTGAGACCCCATCTGTACTAAAAGTAGAAAAACTACCTGGGTGCCTATAGTCCCAGTTCCACAGGAGGCTGAGGCAAGAAAATCACTTGAGTCCTAGTGTTTGAGGTTTCTGTGAGCTATGATGCCACAGCACCCTACCAAGAGCAGCAAAGTGAGACTCTGTCTCAAAAAAAAAAAAAAAAAGCCATCCTCATGGGGGCTTTGGTGTAGGGGAAGTTACAGGGACACATTGACCCTGGTGTTGTCCTTGCTGGGCTCACCTCCAGCCCTGGTGCCTGTTCCCCTCTTACCTTTGGTCTGCTTTCTACTGTTGGTAAAAACACACTCCTCTTGTTATCATCTTGGGGGTCTGTGGTGGCTAATTTTGTGTGTCCACTTGGCCAGACCACAGTAGTCAGATATGTGATCAAACATTATTCTCAATGTTGTTGTGAAGGCAATTTTTAGATGAGGTTCACATTTAAGTCAGTAGACGGCTCGGCACCTATAGCTCAACTGGCTAAGGCGCCAGCCACCTACACCTAAGGTGGTGGGTTTGAATCCCCAGCCCGGACCTGCCAAACGACGACGGCTGCAACCAAAAAATAGCCGGGCGTTGTGGCGGGCGCCTGTGGTCCCAGCTACTTGGG